AAAAGAAAATAGTCACTGGGTTATATGGGGGGGTGACTCCAGATTTCCTACGTAAACTTTTGCAGCAATTGTTGAGTTGGACAAGCAGTATGGAACTGGGCATTGTCATTGCAGGAGGATTACACCATCATTCAACATGCCAGGGTCCTTGCATCAGATGGCTTCATGTAACCTTGTCTAAATGGCACAATGGTGATCAGCAGTAATGGCTCGCACGCCTAAGTGAGAATACGTTTTTAAATGTCTAGCCATTTCAATCGCTCTGACACATCTTTGGACTTATTCTATGTACCCACATAACCGCTGCTAGGTAACTAGTAGCATCTACTAATCAGGGAATAAAGTATTCACTCCACAATAATTACTTTTCAAATGGTAATACTTGAAACTTTTTTTTTTTTTTTTTTTTTTGAATCCATCTATGTATCTTTATTTTCATTGGTGAGCTTTAAATATTTTTAGAGTTGTAAATGCTGAATGTTTAGCAGAGATTTTTTTTTTTTTAAAGCCAGAATACTGTTCTTTCTAATCTTGATCTAATTTTGAAGAATTCAGATCTTTTGTTTATTTTTTCTAACTGTATTTGTGTATGAGCTTTTTAATTTATGAGTGAAATATAAATCTGAATTTTTTGTTATTAGTGAGCACTGTAAAACAATTTTTGTGTAGATTACTCTAATTAAAAATTAATTGGATGGTACCAGCCAAATTCTGAAACTGTACTTGAATTAAACCTGATTTACATGCCCTTCCCATGTGCATCTGATGGAGATACTTCCTGGGAGTTCCTCTTACCTAATGTATGTCAAGTAGTCTGTGCATTTTAGCCATATCATCATTACAAAGTCAATGTTAACAGCACTGAAATGAAGCAGTAGGCTTCAGAATGAAGCCATGTGGGTTCCTGAAAAGGAGAAAGTGCAAGGCAATTGAGAAAATAAGGAAAACAGTGTTAATGACTTTTTTGACATGAAAAGTAATTGTACCTTTAGTTTATTCCTACAACTCAGATAGAGAGTGAAAACATTACTTTGGGATGTTTTAAGGGAGCTAAGAGATATCAGTTATCCCTAAAGGTTGAACTAAGCAAGGCCACAAACCATTTTTTAAGCACAACATAAGCTGTACCTAAACAATCCGATCTGTAATTGATATTGCAATCTATTGGTATACAAGGTAAAATAAAAATTCAAAATTATTTTGGATCCTAAATAAGAAGTAGATATTTGAGCATGATTAAAGGAGTTATTTTCCAAAAATACTTTATATTTCAGTTTTTCACTTTCTGTAATATAATTTGGTTTTTAGATTTGGGTGGGTCCAAAATAAAGTTTCTCATTCCACCAGAAATGTAAATGTTTATTAAATAATTAAATATTATTTATTAATTAAATTATTATTTATTGAGTATATTTATTTATTATTGTAATTATAATTTTTATTGCTTATTGATTTTTTATTACTTATTTATTGCTTATTGATTAGTTATTATCTGTTATTTGTTAATTAAATTTATTATTTATTAAATAATAATAGCAATAGAATTTTAAATCTTTCCACCATATTGTTAATTAGAACAACAATAAGGTCTATCAGTCTTTTTAATCTTGGAATATAAATTATCTTGTTACTATTCATCAGATAATCCAAGTATAAAAGATGAAAGCCTGTCAAAAATATTCAATGAAATTAAGCTAATATAAACTAGCACATATTCCATAAACCTTGCACTCTATAACATTTGACTGCAATTCCTTGTATGAAGCAATAGCACCAGAAGATAGGAAATCAGAATTTGAAATCTTTTTATCTAATTGTGCTATTGACTAGATTAAGAACTTTGCAAATAACAGTAAATAAAATTATGCAATGAATTCAGCAAACCACTATTTTAAATCTTTCAATCTACAAGAAACTTGTGGTTGAGGAAGACAAGTATAAGAATTTGCCTCTGATGGTGCTGTCTATTAAAATGAGAATGGATTTTAGATATGTAATCTTTGTAAGTTTTGCGTGAAGTAATATTGCTTTTGCCCCAAAATAATGCAGATTTTTAACTACCCTCTGGAAATAATATGAATCTTTTCAGCTCTGTCCAACCTTTAAGTAATCTTTATATTTTAAAAGCAGAGCATTAATTTTGCATTTTATCATAGTATCAAGTCAAATTAATTATCTTCCTTATTCAGGTTGTCTAGAAAAAGTTGTTATGGGTTTCCTTTTCTTAAGTATTAAAACTAAATATTCACTTCAAAATATAAAACTTCTGAAAATAGAGTAAAGGATGTTATGAAAACAATTGAGCATTGGAACTGGAAGGGTTGTTTGGTCTCTGTTGGGAAGCTCTGTAATCAGTAAAATATTTGTTATGTTTTAATAAAATAAATATTAAAATTTGATACCTTTAGATACAAAATTTTTGGAGGTATTAATAATTAATAATTTTGTGAAATCATTTGTAAAAACAACTCATGTTTAACAATTCACAAAATCGTAAATGCCATGAAGAGCAACTTTTATTTTGTTATTCTCCCTAAATCTTAGTAAAAAATATTTGAATTTACTTTGCAAATAGGTACTTAAATAGTGATCTCAATAAACCGTTCTAGAATATTTCTGCGAATTTTTTTCTCTTGTAACTTACTGAAACATAATTAAATTTACTAACTGAATGAGGACAGAAGTGGCCAAGTGGATAAACTGTTGAATGATGGTAGTTCAATTCCTGTGTTGGCTGCATTGGTTTTTATAGTTTTTCTTATGTATAGTGTGAATATGAACTAGATCTCTGCAAAAGCATCCATTCTTAGGCAGATAATTGTCATATTTTTTGTCATAATATAATAAAGGCTAATTGCACTTAATTTTTGTTTGATAAAATGCCAGATTTTATATCCATGGAATTTTCCTACTTCTAATGCCAAAACTGCTTTCATAAAAATTTTTATTTTGAGAAAACTTGTAATTAGAAATACATATTTAGAATTAATATTTGAAGAAATAAAATCTGCAGCCACCTTCTTCAAATATTATAGCATACTTTCAGTATATGATATTCATATATGTAAGTAAGCCTTACAAAGGAGTAAGCAAACCCTAAAACTATGTTTTCAAATGCAGAGTTGTTTTACTTATGAAGCCATCTTATGTTTGGTGAAATACAGTAACTCTGTGTAATTCAGAAACTCATTAAATCAAATAAGTTGCCAAATCCTTGATTTTGTTAGAACTACTAACATGCGTAATATGTATATGCCAAAAATGTCTTTAAAATATCATCTATCATGTTGCATTTTCAAATTATTTTAAGATAATACAACACAGAAATATAAATATTAAAATATGCTGTTTTAAGAAATAGAAAATACCACACTCTGTCATGGAAAAAACATATTTAATAGATTTACATGCTGCATGCTTTGTTCTAATAAAATACACTGTTGAATTTTCAATTATTAGATATCAAAATGGAATATTGTATAAACTTTTAAAATATAATATAACATATAATTAATATAATGCAGTATTACCTCTTTTATAGGGTATCTCTATTAAAATCAATCCAAGCCCCTCTTCCCTCATATCAGGCTTCTAGTTCATTCCCTTCAAAGCTCTGAAAATGGCTACTAGAAACTTTAAAAGCACTACTTGAAGATCTAAGATCAACTATCAGTGTATAAAGGTCAAGCATAACCACTTCTTCTTACAACATGGATAGGTATTGGAGGGTCGGAGTTTTCTTGGAATAATGCCAACAAGACTATGAGAAAATAAATAAACTGACACTTGAAAAATCTAAAGATAACACAGATAAAGAGCTATAACACTCCTTAACAGAAAACTGATTTGGAAAATTTGAAATAATGCAGTTAGTTTTTCAAAATAAATTAGGTATAGTTGGAAGGAAACTGAGGCACTAAGTGTGAACTCATCAAAACACTACTAGTAAGTGATTGAGGAGCATATTAAACCAATGACTATGTGTTTGCTAGTGGTAGAAATGACAACATCAAAGCTTTTATTCAGTACTTTGATGTTGTCATTCATTTTGTAACCCAAAAGTGTATGGCAAACTCACAAAGTATCAAAGAAGGGAAGGTCTAAAAATACTTAAGACACTGAAAAACTCAATTCAGTTTGAAAGCTTTTTATATGTTGGAGAAAAACTGTGATTTGAAACTTTAAAAAACAAAACTTAAACCTTCAAAAAATATGACTATGACTTTTTATTTCTCTTCTTATAATTTTCATCTTATAAAGCAAGTTATGTTTGTAAAATTTTAAGCAATAAAATTAAAAATGCAACATTTGCTTTTTGGTTTCCATTTCAACAGAACCCTAAGTTGTAGATTTTTAAAGTTACAAAACCTAGACCTGAATATTTAACTTCTCTTTCCAAAAATATTAAAAAGTTCTGCAAATTGCTGACCAGTTCTCTGGCAAACTGAAAAAAGTTATTATTGTTATTACATTAAAAAGTAATCTTTTGCTGAATTATTTCTAATTAAAATAATAACCCTTTACATAAAATATATGTTGTATCGTGTATCTAATACGCATTGTAATGATAGGTACAGTAAGAGATAATTTTGTTTAAGGAAAAAAATATTCACTTCCATGGGTTATCTTTGGCAAACCAAAGCACTTTACTGTATATTTGACCAAAAAATAATGAATGTAAAGTGAAGAAGAAATAGATATTCTCATTATTTATTTCAAATTGAAAACTTACTGGAGCAGAGTTTTTGTTTGTTTGTTATTATTATCATTTAAGGTAAATAAATATTTTTATTGTGGTAGTTGACATCAAAGTAAAATGGATTGTGAATATTTTTTATGTAACCTGAGCACTCAATTTTCTATATGTATTTAAATAATAGTTTAATATTTAATAATTTTTCTGTTCTGTTAAATAATTTAAATAAACAATCATATATGTGCATGCTTTAAACATAGTTCATAAATAAAAATTTTTAATATTTACTATTTTATTTATTAAGGTATTCAGAAGATGATCTTCACAACTCTAGAGATGGATTCTCATCTCGCTTGAGTTATCAGTATAAGAGAAATAGTTTAACTGGCTCTTCATCTCTCAGTAATCTCAATGTTGATCCATCCTTAACGCCTCAGGCAGTGGTTATGACCAAGGGACGCAAAGTTAGGTCTTCCTTGAAAAAATTAGAAAAGCAACAAGATGAAATATTTGAGTTATAACTAAGGTATTGTAAGGTAAGTATTCTAATTAATTTTGTTTTTTAAAATTTCTCTCCCATCTCAGCATCTATAAAATTAGCTTTTTTAAATGGCACATCTTTCGTTATATATATATATTTATTAATATATATCATTTGACATGTTTTACCTCATTCTGTTAAATAATTTAAAACCTTCCTAGTGGTTTATAGTTTATTAATAACAAAGCCAAATAGTCTTGGTGATTAATGGGCTGTATAAGTTAAAGCAAGGCTGCCGTAGTGCATCCAAGTAGATATATTAGATTATCATCAGGTCTTGCTAACTGCTAAATTTTTCACCCCAGATAGAATTCTGAGGGATAACTCCCCAGTTCTCTCAAGAAGATTTTAGCTTGCCATGAATTTTGAGTGCACCTTTTCCACATGAACACGATTTGCTTACAAACATCCATGCCTTTGTTAAATATTTGCATAAGTCGCCTGTAGTAACGGCAACCACCGGCAATAAAAGGAGGTGCTTTCCTTAGTGGCACCGCAGTTCCTTTTAGTTTGAGCCAGAATAGACCTGCCAGGGGATGAGAGATTCCGGTTCCCGCCCTGTTCCGGTTCCCGTCTTGTTGCGGATCCAGTCCTGTTCCGGTTCTCGTCTTGTTCCAGTCCAGTTCCGGTCCTGATCCAGTCCTATTCCAGTTCCAGCCTGGCCGTTTAAGTCCAAAACACGTAGGAGCGGATGTCTGAATTCAGCGAAATGGAGATATATGCCGAAAGGGCTAGATGGATTCTGTCTTTTAAAGGAAAGTGTTCTTCACCGTGCCGGCATAGCTGTTACTTTAAAGCACTTTGAAGTTTTCCACCCAAGATGTTAAGTTTTTGTTTGCGATGTTAAGTTTTCATCAGTGTTGAAGTTCCAGTTAAATAAACCTTTAAGTTTTAGACAAGGTTTTTGTGTTCTTCAGAAAATTTTAGATTCGAAGTCAGATACAGCACATAGGATTATTATCGGAAAAATCAACACCTTCTTTGGGATTTGAACTATGGCTTTTTGTTATGGCATTTAGAGACACTAACCACTATCCTGTATTAATGTTCGGTTGCAGATTAAAAATGTTATAACCCTTGTATTTATGTATTATTAATTGTCGATCAATGGTAAAAGGAAGGGTCCTTTAGAAAATTAAGCCACAATAACAATTCAGCATTCTGAAAGGTGAGTTTTAACTTAACAAGTAGTATTATAAGAGTGTATTTTGCCATCATGAGTTATGAAGTGATAGCATAATAACCTGATACTGTTTTTCCTGGTTTGGCATTTAACTGCTCAGAAGCAAGGATTTTCAACTTTGAGCTGTCAGTATTTTCAAAAATATATACCTGTTCACCTAAAACTATTGGTTCATCTAGAAGGTTCTGTGTTTTTTTTTTTTTTTTTTTTTTTCATGATAAATACAAATGAAGTAGTACAAAAACATAAAAAAAAATTCATTGAATCATAAGCAATACAGTCAAAAGTCGTTAATTCGGACACAAATAATCCGGACCTCAAAGCTAAAAACTTTCTGCGCATGCACCGCGTTGACACATGCGCATAGGCGTTTACGCGTGCGTGTAAGACCTTTACGACTGCGTGTGCGCAAGTGCAGAATACGTTTTCGCGTGCGCGTTTAATGTATAACGTACGTATAAGCTAAAATTATCTAATTATCTATTTCAGTGAATGTTGACGATTGCGTTGTTCCTTAATCTTCGAACTGGATCCGGCTAATTACTTTTTTCAGACTGTAAGAGCAATTTTATAAAAGTAAACTTGAACTTTCGATTATGTCAAATAGAATTTCCGATGCTGGAGCTCCCAAAAGATCTACAAAACGAAAGTATGTTTCGATGTCCATCAAACAAAAAGTGGAATTGCTGCAAAAAGTGGGAAAAGACATGAAGAAGGTGACAGAGAGGTTAGTGAAAATGAAAAAATTTCGATTGACAAGTTAGCCGGTATTCTCGGCCTAGCAATTACGGGACTTGAACAGCGGAACTTTGTAACTGAAGAAGAAATTATGTCTGTTTATAGAATTAAAGAGAAAGTATTATCACATAAAACGAAGCAACTTAAACAACTTACATTGAAATAAATGTTTAATAAAGTAAACAAATAAATATTAAGCTTTTTTTTTTTTTTTTTTTTGTAAATTTTGATACCCTTTAGATCATAATTGTTCTTTATTTCAGAAATTACGGTTTCATATTTTTAATTTTAGAATTTCTTCATGCCATCTTACGAGATTTAAACTGATGATCTATAATCCGGAAAAATCGATAATCTGGAATCGCCGAAGTCCCGACGAGTCCGGATTAACGACTTTTGACTGTATATAGTTTTATGACTTTTTGCCATCTCTTCAGCAGCTGCAAAATTTCTTTTTTAAATAAGTCATTAGATTTATTCATAAAGAAGTTATCAAGATCCTTTTTAACAGTCTCCACAGAAGTGAACTCCAGGTCATTCAGAGAATTTTGAATTGACCTGAGGGCATGAAAACTGAGGGGGGCAAGGTCTAGTGAATATTTGGAGCTTATAAGAAATAGACTGATCTAGCTGGGTTTTTCCCCTTTCTTGCGATTTATCTCGTGCGACTCAAATTATGGCCAGAGAAGTTGGGACAATGCAAAAAATTTTACTATGGCTTGTTATTGCTCCACATTAATTTTCATCATATAAAGTAAGTTTTGTTTTTAAAAATCTTAAGCACTAAAATTAAATGCAACAATTTTCAACAGAACCCTAAGGTATAGATTTTTAAAATTATAAAGCCTAGACCTGAAAATTTATCTTATCTTTCCAAGAATGTTAATAAGTTCTCTAAATTGCTTGCAGGTTCTCTGTCAAACTAAAAAAAAAAAAAAAATTTTTTTTATTGTTAGTTTGAGGCAACTAACGTTGGGGATTAATACTGAAAATGCTGCTATACTGAAAGTTTGGCATTTTTCTGTTAAGCGCCTACCACACTTTTTGGCCCCTGGAAAGAGAAACCAAACACATGTGGAGTGCTGAAGATAGCACCATGTGGGGATTATGTGCATGTGTAAGCAAGAATTATTAAACAAATATTATTACAATAATATTGCTAAAATGCATGTCATTCGCATAACGGAAAACGTTTAAAAGGTGTAGGATATCATATGTTCTTTTTTCTAAAAGATTATCTAATGATAACAAATTTGAGCAAAACTATCCAATTAAATACTTAATTTAGTTTGAAAGAATTATAATAAATTTCTTGTTGTTGTTTGTAGAATAACTTAATTTTTCCCTAAAAGATTACATTAATGATAATGAAGTTGAGGGAAACTAGCTGACTAAATAATAAAATTAGTATAGTGTTGCATTTTGATATTTGTAAATCAGTGCATTGTTAGTAATAGTTAGAGATTAGAATGCGTGATGCAACTGCTTGCTATTAAGAATCATAGAAAAATGATTAATTAGAAGCAAAATTAACAAGCTTAATTTTATTTAAAATCTAATGTATCTAATCTGCCTTTCGTAAATATATGGAATTTTCTTTTGTAAACATTCCAAAACAAATGTGTTATAGGGAAGTTGCTAATGACATAAATTGCTTTAATATTTTATGTAAGCAAAATCACGAATTTTTAGGGTAAACTTCTTAGAAGAAGTCCATTTGATACCAGAACGAGTACCAGTTCATATTTCAGGTTCCTTTGTTTCTTCAGGGTTTGTACGGTCCTTAAAAGTCCTTAATTTTTTCAAAAATGATTTTTGGTCCTTAAAAGTCCTTAATTTTGGCCAAAATTAATAAGCGGTCCTTAATTTTGCTCATTTGACATTATCATTTCTAATGATTGCCATTCTATGTGTGAATTGCGATTTCTCGTGAATATGGAATTAAAATTGCACGGCTCTTAACCAATCTGTTGGCGGATTTGCGTTGCAAACAATAAAAAAAAAAAAAAAAAAAAAAAAATTAGCTACCCGAACGAAAGTATCGGTGTCTGATTGGCTATTCACTTAATTTCTGTGTTTGTTTCAATTAAGCCATAAATTAATTTTTTATCACCTTCTACGGAGTTTATTCTCTTTTGCGCATACTATATGTATGGGATATCGGGATTATGAGTTTATTTCTGCAGAGCAGTCTTGTCTGTTATCGATTTCGCGGGAAATCTGTTGGCTCCATTTCGATTTTAGGTCGCCAAAGGCAAATTCAGTAACGCTAGCCGAGAAAAAGTGAAGTTTGGAAATACATTTTGAAGCTTCAATAGACAATTAAGTATTTGATTTAATCCTATGCTGTTGATAGTAATGCATTATTTTTGCTAATGGCGATGCAATTATTAGTTGAAAACAACTAACTAATTAAAAAAAATTTAATATTTTTAAAGCTGAAAACAACTAACTGAAACTAATTTTCCTGAATTAACTAGACGGACGCAAAATTAACTTTCAAGAATTACTAAAGTTATTGGGTAGAAGTTTAACTGAAAATATACATTCCGTATTATATATATATATATTTATACAGTACAAAGTCCAAGGTCGGGACTTCTGCGATCCCAGATTCGAGATTTTTACGGATATTAGATCATTTTAAATCTAGTAAGATGGCACATAGAAATTATAAAATTGAAAATATGAAATCGTGATTTATGAAATAATGAAGCATTTATGATTTAAAGGGTATCAAAATTTACAAAAGAAAAGAGCTTAATATTTATATGTTTACTTTATTAAACATTTCTTTCAATGTGAGGTGTTTAATTTGTTTTCTCTGCTGATACTTTAGACTAATACTATAGATATATAATTTCTTGTTGAGTTATTAAGTTCCATTGTTAAGTCCTGTAATTGCTGTGTCGAGAATTCCGAATAACTTGTCAATCAAAATTTTTTCTCGTTCATTAACCTCTCTGTTACTTTCTTCACTGTCGGTAGCTGTATTTTTTGGATTTAGAACCATACTACAGATTTCACCCTCCGTTAATTGATTGATGATTGGGGCATTGTCATCGCAATGAAAA